GAAGCTGAGATAGAACTGCTAGTTCAAGGCCAGCTTGGGCTATGGAGAAAGTTCAAGATCAACGTGAAATACATAACCAGACTCTGACTCAAAAAAACCAAAGCAAAAGCAGCCACAGCAGCAGCTGCCATAGCTGCCTGCTAACAACTAGTCAAAAGCATTTGAAACTGACAGATAATTACAATTTAACAGATTTCCAGAACTGTACCAGTCCAAAAAACACAAACTAGACCTAGCCTGGTAGGTCTGGTTAAAATAGTCCCTGACCTTAGTCTTGAATAATAATGGACTAAAGATCAGCATACTTTTGAAGTACTAGGAGACATTAAACTTCTGGGCCTATGCTGTAAAACTTCAAGTTCTTAAATATGGCTGAAACCATAATACATGAAGGGAGAGGGAAAAAAGGCAAATAAATTAATGAAATTGTTACAGAGGGCCCTATAAGGCATGCTCACAAACATTTTTAAGCACTTACAATGTGCCTAGAATTCTAGTAATATTTTCATGTATTATCTCATTTAGTCCTCAAAACAACTTTTGCAGTTGTGAGTAATTATCTTTTAACTGACAGAAGTGACAATGATAGATTAACATGACAATAATCCACAGATCATAAATGGCAGAGACAGAATTGGAACACAGTGCAGACTAAATCCTAACTGTGAGCTCACAGCCTCTCTTACTGAAGGATGCTGGGGGAGCTACTGAAAGGTTTTTACAATAAAGAGTGGCGTATCAGTGGTTCTCTTCCATAGCCAAGTGGAAGCTGGAAAAGGAAATAAATCTAGAACCACACGGAAGCTTTCACTACATCTTGCAGTGATCCAGGTGAAAACAAAGGAGACAGATTCAAGAGAGCTCTTTCAGCAGGGAAGCTATACTCTTAATGATTACAAGTGAACAGCCAGTGAGAAAGGAAGACCGGACCCAGGCTTGTTGAACTAGGTAACAACTACCACCACCAAGAACAGAGGAGCAACAGATCTCACTCACTCAGTGTCTACAGAGTACTCCCAAATGCCAAACACTTTTCCAAAATCCAGAGTTTGAAACTAAGTCTGGGTAGACAGAAAATAGTCAAGAATGCAAATACAAAACATTTAAACACAAACCATATATAAACTTTGTCATTACTAGGGTTGAAGACATAGCTCAGCAGCACAAGTGCCTGCCAGCCAATCACAAGGTCCTGAGTTTGATTCCCAGTACTGAAAAAAGTTTGCCACTACTGCTACTACTGGTATGGTAGCCCATACAGTAATCCCAGCACTCAGGAAGCTGAGGCAGGAGGATCATTTTGATTTTGAGGTCAGCCTGGGCTACCCAGTGAATTCTAGGCCAGCCTGAACTACAAATTGAGATCCTGTCTCCACCAAAAAAAAAAAAAAAAAAAAAGGTTGCCACTACAATTAACAGCTTTGGCTGAGAGTCCAGTGAAAACATTTTACACTATCATCTTTTAAAATACTATTACATGCAGAAAATAAGGCAACAGAAAAAAATTCCCAAATTTTACAACGTCATAGTTGAGTATGACAGAGCTTCAATTTTTTTACACAACACATAAAAAAAAAAAACTGTGTAATTTGTACTGCTTGCCCCCTCCCTATATGTTTATAAGAAAAAAAGTATGTTTTATTACCAAAACTACTATACACATTTGGGGTTTTTCATCCCACTATCACTACCATACGTTGCCAAGAACTCAGTTCATAACCTCCTACTTGACTTCCTACAAAATATGACCTACTTCACCTCTGCTTACTTCAATAACAGGTCCTAAACCTTAACCACACCTTCCATCTAAGGAGAATCCCTGTAAATCTTAAGGCACAGCAATTCTGTGCAGATGTGGCAAGTTACTGTTATTCCCACTTTACTACAGAGTTAGGAAACTAGCCCAGGGGAAGTAGAGTAATTTGAAAATAATCACAAAGCCAGATGCCAAAAATAACAACTTTTAGTCCATCCATGAGAAAATATTGCCCCTAGTTGAAATAACACGAAATTTAGTATTAGGAGGAAGCAAATGCAAAATAATGCTCTAAGGCCAAGTCTTCACTTTTATTTCTAAAAATTGAACACCAGAATTAACATTTGTAAGAACTTTCAAATGAAGTCATTTTTTATAATGCCTCACTCATGTACAGTTTCAAGATTTACTTAATGAACTACATCTGGCAAGAATAGTTCCTCAAAACAACGTTTTCTCTTATCAATTTAAAAGACTACGGACACAGGGCAAAAAGCAAGTTCTTAACTGTTTAAAATCTAATGCCTAGAGTAGTACTGGTGAACCTATGAAATGTGTGCCATAGCTGCCTGGCTGTTTTCACTGAACGTTCTAAAAAGTTCCATGGTTAGAGCATAGAGTAGAATATGCCTGAAAATACTGGAAATGAACCTCAAACATTTTCCCTCAGAAGTAGAATGTCATATTTGAGTCTGATAGATCTTCCATCGCGCTACTATAACAGATAACAGATTTAAAGCTTTAATAGTCAGCATAAAGAATGCAAGTTTCCAGCCACAACTCACCCTATCTTACATACTTCCAACTATGCTGCCTGAAAATCACCTAAAAGCACTGTTTCATTTGGTCATGAAATAAAAGATTTACATGATTTAGACACAATATAGCTCAAATTATACATGTAACTTTATAATGTTTGTGTGATCATTCTTGGGTGCACATCTCAGAACCAATTTTTTTTTTTACTATACAAAAGTAAAGTTTACTTTCCTTGAAGTCAGAACCAGTATGCTCATGATTTTACCTTCAAAACTTGATTATGTACTGAGGAAAATCAGAGGCATATGATAATTGGTAAAAAGGCATTCATCTAGGTTGCATCAGTCAATGACTTCAATCCCTAGTTAAACATTTTAATAATACATAAAAATCATTCATGGAACATGACCTGTAAATTTTCACTAAACCTCAAATACCAATCGTGAAAACATGGTTTTCACATGAATTAAAATTCAACCTATTAATTCTAATCACCACCTTTTTAAACAAAAAGCTTTCTAGAGTGTCAACATTCCTTACAGCAAATCTTATATATCCGGTCATAGCACTTTATGTAGAACTTTACAAATGAAATGACATTCAAGACTTATGAGTTATGTATCTTTTTTAAAAGTTGTGATGAACTAGTAGAAAACAAATTCCTGAAAAATATCTCCAACATAAAAATCCTGTAAATCTAATTCTTATTCCCAGAACAAGGATAATTCAGGCCATTAGTACATAATACACACCACACTCTCACATATACATCTCCCAACTTTCAATATTACCATAACAATAAGCGCTAAAAACAATTTAATACTTTAACATTAGGAAATACCTTGAGGATAACCTTATTAAAAGCTCTTACTGTACTTTTAGTCTTTTGACTACCTGTGCTTAATATACCCCACAAGAAGTCTAAAAGCAGACTTCACTCGTAAACACAATTCCAACAATGGGACAGAAGGATTGTCATACATCCCATCGACAGAAGCAAAAAAGCACAAACTGTAAATTTCAATTCCAAAGTCTAATGCTTGTAAACTCCAATGCTTAAGAAACTCATATCAAATTTTCAAGCAGGATTCATTTTTCTCCTTATGAAGCATAAGAGTTACTATGCAGATTCTACAGAGGGGGAAAAAAAAAAAAAATCTGAAATCCTCCACTAGGCATTTCACAAGTTTTGAACATCAAAATTCACTCAGCCGTTCACCCACCAAAATGAGTATCCGCTGTGGACATTCGAAACCCTTCTCAACCATCAATAGGAAAAAACAAACAAACCTTGCACCTAGCTCCTACCGTCCTGCAACACCTTCCCCTCTCCCACCCATCCGCAGGTAACCCCGAAGCAAAGCCAGACAGCTGCCCTCCGCCTAGGCCTTCAGAACCCGGGAGGGGGGGAGGGCAGGGAAGCCATCAAGAGATTAGATCTCTTTACTGGGCTACTGTTTCCAAGCAAAACAACCAGGGGCCAAAGAGCCAAAGAGATGGCAAAGAAACCTGGAGATGCTTTAATCCCGAGAGAAAGGGCACGGGACGGGAGGAGGAGACGATTTGTAATCCCAGGAGAAAGGACCGTTCCGAGAGGAGGGGTGCGGAAGAGAAAAACCAAGTGTCCCCGGGCACCTTTCTGAGTCCCCAAACAAGAACAAACCGGAGAGTCGGTCTGCACTCAAGAGGCACCAGATGGGGTCCCGGGTCTGAGACAGTTGAGCAGACACACACCGTGGGCAGGAGATAAATCCCACGGTGATGGGAGGGGAAGGGGATGCCGAGAATAAGCTACTAAACGGGGGACACAAAGACTCTGGGGGTGCTGGGGCGCAAAGGGAAAGGTGAGGGGGGAAGACACACGAAAAGACAATGGAAGAAAACAGGCAGGAATCCGGTGCCGGGGCTGTGGCAGGTCACTGGGCTACCGAGAACAAGGGATACAACAAAGGGGCACGGGAAGGAGGACCGCGAAGGCAAGAGGATGGAGATGGGCCGCGGAGCGCGGCGGGTCGACAAAGCGCCCACGGCGGCGGAACAAAGGGCTGGGGGTAGAGTCGCGGGGGGCAGCGCGGGCAGACAAAGCGCCCGGGCCGGGGCACCGACCTGGCGCGGGGCGCCGCGGCCGCGAGGAACAAAGCTGCGCAGGGCCCCGAGGCGGCGCCCGCGGGCGC